TCATGGAATCATCAAATAGTTTGGGTTGAAAGGGACCTTTAAAGGTCATCTAATCCAACCCCCCTGCAATGAGCAGGGACATCTTCAACTAGATGAGGTTGCTCAGAGCATCATCCAACCTGAGCTTGAATGTTTCTGGGGATGGGGCATGTGCCACCTCTCTGGGCAACCTGAACCAGTGTTTCACCACCCTCATTGCAAAAAAATTCTTCCTTATATTTAATCTACCCTCTTTCAGTTTAAAACCATCACCCCTTATCTTATCACAACAGGCTGTGTTGTTGGACGAGTGCTGGTGGCCACACAGGCTGCTGCCCGGGCTCCAGCCACCATGGGCAGAGGCCGAGTGACGTGGAACGGATGCTGCCGGGGTCAGAGCCTTGTGCTGCTCCACAGCCTGGAGGGAGAAGGGAGAAGGAACCTCGTCCCCCTGAGACCCACAGCACATTTCTGAAACACTTTTTCTATTTTTTGTGCATTTCTGTACTTTCTATGCACAGAGAACCAGATTTAATTTATCATCCCACAGTCATCCCATATGAGGCAGATACCGTAAGAATTTAAGCTCTCTTATTTTAGGCCTTTTGCTTTAACCACAAGAACATCCCTCTATGCTATGTAAGAGTTAGCCAGACCGTAAGACCTGCATGATACGATCTCTAAGAAATATTTTAATGATGTAGCATTTTTGAAAACAGATTATGCAAAGATACTTTTAAAAGGAATTGTAATGTAATTTGGGTGCAGGCTCTGCAGAAAGACAAATACAATTAATTCTTATGTTTTTCTAACTGCCTCCTTCTTCACTGCTGTCAGGAAGCCTGCATGAAAACATACCGTTTTACACCAATGACGTCTGCATCTTGCTCTTTACCAGATACAACAGTCTGTATGCAACATGGCAATCTGGGAACTCTGAAGGGAATTACATCAGTAGTTTGTGTCAAATTTCTATTTTCCATTTCTATTAGGAAGGATTAATTTAGCATCCAAATCAATGTGACTGTGTAGTAACATAAAACGTATCAGAAAAGAAAAAATTACAGGTAAGGTCTCATCTCTTGTTCAAGGAACAGCTGTAAGAAAAAAGACTGACAATAGGAAGCTGTCCCTATAGAACACAGTTAAACAGACACCAGTGTCAATGGCTGAATGCTGAAACTACAGAATTACATGCTTTTTGTTAATTCAAACTTTTAACAATTGGAGCATGGTAGGAAATAAAAGCAGCACATTCTTCCTCAGTTGGTATCTTTAAATTAAGGTAGAGTATCTGTGTAAAAGATTTCAAGAACTCCCTGTTGGCTCAGTACTAAATACTGTCATGGTATGGAAGAGTAACTCTCACCAGTGCAGAAACCAGGAGGTCAATAAAGCACTCAGAAACAGACTTCTGTTCTCATTTGTGCATCTACAGAATAATTAAATAGACTAAAAGAAACAACAAATAGGAATCCTACTTCAAAAATGGGTGTTCTAGAAGGTGTTCACTATGACGTCCAGGAAACTTATTCTGCAGCTTACAAGTGAGGAGTTCCATTAACAGACCAGTCAGCTTTTCTTTGAAAAGCGTGAGTTCAATCATTGCATATTCATGCATTAACTTGTATTTCTTTCTAACTTGACAATAAATGACAATGTATTTTAGGTAGTCTTTTCCATAGGACATTTGCTGACCTTTACCTGACTAGAATGAAAGAAAAGTCCAATGTCAACTTTACCCTTTCTATCCAAACATACCATAGGAATGAATACACATAAAGCAAATCCGAATGTACAGCGAGTTAATCTTTTAACCTGGGCTTTTCCAGACTAACTTTGTACTGCAGTTCTACTTAAATCTGCTCAAAGGAGCAACTAAGGTTCAGGAACAGGCCCGCTGCAATAGCCACACACAACCTGCCTTCACACAGCAGATAAAATGAATTGCTCTTTCCTGCAACCCGCTAGTATGCCACGTCCCTGCCCTCAGGCTCCTGGAATGGCTTTGCAAAGTTGAGGCCACTGCAGAAGACACTGCAGCCCTCGGTTCAGAGCACACACACCACGCGTCTGGTGCAAACCCTCAGCCTGGCTGTACGCTCAGGGACTGGCGGAGAGTTTTGCCGTGTAACACATGCGCACTTCATCCTTCCAGCACCCTTCTGCTGAATACTACTGAAAACTACCACCACGTATGCCCTACTGGCTGCTGCCTTCCCAATCTGTCTGACAACAGGTTTTATCTTATCCCTACAGAATATTACCTGTATTAGCCAAGTACTTTGCTAATTTTACTGGTCTTAAGTACTATTAATAAATCCAATCATGGAGACTCCGATGAAGAATTACAGAGAAAGTGGCTTGCCAATGACTTCCCACATCCCATCATGGGAGTACCTGAAATAGCCGGCAAAACATCTCAGTTACAACACAGGACCAGGGCAATTATCGATTTCCTGCAGCTGTAGCTGGCACAGTTCCCACCAGGCCGCATTTTAAGACCTCCTCCTCTTTTGGCAGACTCTTCCAAGGAAAAACAAGAGCCAAAGCACTGCTCATCTCTTCCGAGAAGTGGACCCCTTTGGAGGACAGCAGCGCCTGATATTGCCCGTGAAAAGTAATCTCATAGTCTTTCAACAGAGCTTCTCAGCAAAAGTGGACTGCTTGCCTTTGAGACTGAGATATAAATGAGGCATCTAAACAAGCCAGCAAGGAGTAGGCAATAGAGGGAGCAAACTGTTTTACCAATGGTGAGACTAAGATTTGAATGTCCCAGGTTCTCCTAGTGACCTTATTTTTAATGAAAAATTAAAAATCGTAGAAGTTGCAGAAAAAAGTTTCCCAAATCCTTAAGGTTTAGGTAAAATGCAGCACACTGAATCAGCTATTAATTTCAGCAAAATGCAAATTAGGAGACAATGCAATTAAAAGTACAGATAAACTCATTGGAGCCAGTGCCAGGTATAAAAGGACTTTCATGTCTCTGGAGAAAGCCTTTAAAACATCCAGAAGGAATTAGCGGCACAACTTAGAAATTATGGCCAATGCCTGAATAATAGAAATGATTGACCATGGTCCGAGCTACTAAAGGAAACGCGGGATTTTCCATTATTTGGTGTTTTCCTGTCAAAACTCGATGCCAAGACAGAAGTTGTGTCTTAGCCAAACAGAGCTTACGCCGTAGCTAAAAGTCAAACAGGATATATAGGGAGGTCAAACCAGATCCACTCACGCCTTCTACCCTTAAATCCTGTGATTGTAAGGAGAGAAGCAGGTTTCCTCCCCCTTCCTCAGCCCTTAAGGAAAACAAGTCTTTTAATCTATTTAGAGGCCCTTTTTGACATTCTTTAGCTGCAGTTTTTCTCAATCAACCTAATCTTTTCCCATCAAGCTCCATGCTAATCCCATTTTGCTCCACTCCTTAAACTAATAAAAGATTAGAGTGACATTTCAGAAAGGGCATCGTATTAAGCAGTTTCTTTCCCATCTCAACAGATCACACAGTACAAAACGTAGCGAACAGGGCATTAATCTTATGGTAATGAGGTGTCAGTCTGAATGGAGACCTCCTCCTTGATCAATATGAAGGGCGTAGGAATAATGAGGACGCTGCCGCTTGCCATCTCTGGCAACTTTGCCAGAAGGCAGCAGATCCATAAATTGTTGTTGTGATGGTGGCAACAGCTCTTGTTACCACACCGCTCTGCCCTTGACAACGGCGAGCAAGCATCCACACCGATCCGTCACCCCCTGTGCTACCCACACATAACGAGCTTTTCCCTATGTTCTAATTAGCGGCGTAAAACTGTTTAACAACTTAGCTTTGCTCTGACATGAAATCAATTAGGATTAGCAGCCACACACAGAGAAATATTTCACACCTATCCAGCTGGTGAAAACCACTAACAAACTACTTGTGTCATTCCTACAGTGGACAAGCTATCGCTCTTCCTGGTGACATCCCTGCATTGGTATTACCCAATTTACTTTTATACAGAAAGAATTTTCTCAGTTTCTTAAACAAGCCACCATTTCCCTTCAAGAAAGCTCTGCACAGCTACCATGCTCCTGGCAGACTCAAGTTTTATCAAGTGCTGAGAAAGCTTGCCAGAAAAAGTGCAGGCCCGTCCCGGTTCGTGATACTTGGTGGTATCCTTTCACCTGCTCTAATAGGATGCTCTTCCTTAAAGAGTGAGGTGGGCTGGGAAATCCAGCTCTTCCACACACACAATGCCATGAAACTGCACGGAACCCAAAAAGGCTCCACGTGGTCACAACGGCATGTTTACACAGAACAAACTGGAGCAACAGGGCTTAAAAATAATCAGAAGGGAGCTAAGCTGGAGAGAGGGCTGCTAAAGGAACAGCGGAAGACATGAGCAGCACATCTCTCTCTCCTAGAGAAATGCCTCTCTGCATGGGTTTCACTTCTACATTTGCTTTTCTTTCTTGTGACTAATGAATAAAACTTGTGGGTTGGGTATCCCCAAAAGTCAAGTGTCTGAAGGTCAAATTGCCCTACAGGTCACCTCTGTAATTTCTGCTCATTCATGGTTTGTGTAGTTACTACTGATATAGGTAAGAGTTCTTCTAAAAATACTCACCCTGTAGAGGAATTCAGCCCTTCTCCTCCTACTTCACACAGTCTAGTCCTGCACTTGCACAGTCTCTGTTATGTCTTGGTACAGTAAATTAATGCTAAATATCAGCATCAAAGAAACTGATTACTTGGGACTATTTCAAGGACAACAGTCACCATAAACCAAATCTTTACAGTAGTTGAGAAAACACAACATTTTTCTGCAATCACAGTAGAACACAGTCTCACTGATATTGTCAATAAATGCCAATTTTTAACTGTGGAGCCTCCAGCTAAGTCTTTATTCTGATCTTCTTATCTAATCACGTACCTAAAAGAGATACAGTGAAGTAAAAGAAAAGGTTCTTCTCCCGTGCACACTTCTTAGAAAAATCCTACCTCTCCATCTTTACTGTCTTGGTAACGCTTAGCTATTTACCTGTATATTGTGGTAGGTGGAGAATTCAGCGTGTCGTAGATGAGCCTCACATGTCCTTGGTACAACTCTAGAGCCAAAGGGTCATTGTCTCCTTTGTATAATAAGATGCCATTGTCCTTGTCTGTTGCTACCTGTGAACCATGAATAACCAGGTGAGGTTGCTTGAGAATGATTAAAAAACAAATAAACCTGTATTAAAAACCATAGCAAAATCATATACGCAATTCAAATATGATTTAATAAATCATATAAATGAGCAACAAGAGCAAGAGCCATAAGACCCAAAAAGGTCTTGGTGACACTGAGTGGGCTCCTACACAAACAGGTCAACCTCCCACTAAGGCATGGCTCCCTTCTTTCAAATGAGAACTAGTTTCCAGGAGCTGAAAGCTGCAATTTAGTTGATCCCTGTCAATAGACTGTTGCTGTATTTTTGGCGACACATGAATTTATTTCTCAGCTACTACCCCAGCTTGAAGTGGAGGTTTCGAAAATCAACTCTGGCATTACAAGCAGCATGTCACAATTACAGGCAAACAAATTTTGGCAGGCACTGATCTGCTCACAGACTTTCCACAAAGAAGGAAAGAAGGACCCGTGCCCACATCTGGCATAACCATGAGTTATTCACTCAATCCAAGTTATTATCAAGTCATGCGGAGTTCAAATGGGACATTTAGAGAGTTAGGAAGAACAGAGTAGCCCTCGTCCCTCTAGCTTTGATGTACATCAAGGAAAAAAAATAATCTTGAACACTGAATCAAAACCCAAGGACTCCACTTTCCCAGTCTCCAGCTCTCAAATACCTCTATAGTACAAAAAAACCAAACCAAACCAAAACCCAAACCCAAACCAAAAGGACAAAATGGTATTTTTTGATACAACTTGCTGTTATTTTCACAGTACATATTTCTCAAAATTTCTTGCCTATTTTTTTATAATAGCTGTTAAATGCCAAAATTAAAAAGTGAATTTATAAATTGCATTTTATATATATTTATATACTATCCTTTTGCCCTTAATTTTTTTTTCTTGAGCACTTTTTAGTAAGATTTCCTCTATCTGTTCTTAATAATCAATGTTGTACACTATTTTTAATTCACTAGCGATTGATTACTGGATGTAAGAAACACATTCAGGGAAACAAGAAGTGAGAACATTATCTGCATGCGCTTTCTGTAAGAATCAGTTTTATTCTTCAAGCTATGGCTGATGTAAGGTTTTGTGCACTTGAGAAGACAATGTCCAGATTTTCAGCTTTAAAGTTGACATATAGTATTTGGAGCCTTTAAGGAGCCATGTTTTAGAGTGCCCATATTTTAGAATCTCTTTTGTGCTATGAAAAAAATGAAAATGTTGAAGAAAAAAATGGAGTTTCAAATATAGATGAATCAGCTTCATCTTCATGTGAACTGTATACATATATATGATATATGTATATATCTATTAAAGAAACGATAAATTTTAATTATGGAACTTTTTCATTAGAACAAACTTTGCAGGAACCACCCTTTTAAAATCTATTACTAATGTGGAAATGTAGTCCTTTTTCTCATGTCTTGACATTGGTATTTTAATTACAACCAAACTCCATCAAGCAAATCTAGAATATGATTTCCAACTGTGGAATACAATCTCTTGTCAAATTGAGAAAATAAATGCAATAAAATAAACATACAGGGATGATTTTTCTTCTCATATCTTTTGAAATGTTATGCTTCCATTGCAGGGTGAATCTAGCATAGAAGTAGCCCAGATTAACAACCAGTGGCCTAAGAAACAGATGTGTCATGTCTCATATATGCTCCACACATCTCTTTATTAGAAAATGCATAAAGCTAGAAATTATTCCCTCGTTTACTTTGGCATATTAGGGGAAAAAAAGATCAGTTTCATGCCTACTAGACTGTGAATGCAAATAACATCCAAATCACTTTAATATCATATTGGACTAAGCATACAAAATACCTTTGGATCCACAACCACAAAGATGACAGTAGTGGCATGGCACCTTTGATATCTACTTTCCATTGCCTTACACAAAATTTAGGTGTAACAACAAGATTGTAACGAAATCCCAGGCCTTTTATCTACTGAATGTGCACAGTAAAAGAGTAAACAAAATATTGTCTGTAAAGGCCATTTAGAACAGCCTCTTTTAATAAGTCTCCTAACACTAAGCACTAATTTCTACAGGATGAAACACAACGCTGTACATCAGTAAGAAGACAGGAGGTTTGCTGAATCATCTCCAGTTGCGTTGCCAGTCTGGTAATGAGAGTGGTGAGATTCTGGAGGCAGAATATGTGTCCGCAAAGGTACGGTGGTGCCTTCGTTGCTCCTTAATGTTGCCGTAATTTTAGAGCACACAACCGGCTCACAAGTTGTCTCTCACTTTGTCAGCTTCTTGGTCAATAGACCTCTTTCGTTCGGAATAAAACCCCAATATATACATGCATACGTAATATTGCTTAGAAGAGCACTGGGCTGGCAACTGATGTTCTGCATGACATACCTGGAGGGAGATGTTTGCCTGAGGGCGAATTTTGGCAGATGGCAGCTCCACATAGGAATCCTTCCCAACAAAGTTAACTGTGATGAGCTTCTCGCACTTCTGCCCAGCAAAGCCAGCGAGGCAGCGGCAGACGGGCTCATGGTGCGCGACGATGCACTGGGCCCCATTCTGGCACTCGTAGTTATCACATGGGCTTGTCTGGAGCAGAACCATTGGTGGAGGAGTTTCACAGAAAAGTCCACTGTAGAAGGTAAAGGAAAGAAGAAGGGGCCCAATTACCAGCATTTTTTTAAGGAAGCAAACACTTTCCGATGCTGATGTTATGCTACTCCTGTGGTATAGCAACTCTGAGATTCAGCTACCCCGTGCTGACTTTACTGCGAGAAAGCTATATAGCACAGTGCCATACAGACATTCCCCCCTCAGTCTGAACGAGCCAGTTCAAGTACTGAAAGCAATTTGTACTGCACTTTGCACTGGTTATTTCGCTCTGCAAGGTACAGCACTCTGTCTAAAATAGCTTTCATCCCACACTGTGCCATGCAGACGTTCCCAGCAAAAACTGGGAGCCATTTAAGCCCAAACCTGAGATTTGCCCGCCTGCTCTCCCCACCATCCAGAAACATGCACCGCTCCTCAGCCAAAAATCCCCATCCTAGGCTTTGGGACTTGAGTCTACCTCTGCTGTTGGTAAGCAACTGGTAAGCAAGGGGGAAATCCTCTATTTTTAGTGTTTTTTACAGCCTCCTCACTTGCTTTACTGTGTATCAGAGTGTACCATCAACAGATGGGCAACTGCTAAAACATCTCAGAAGCAATGCACCGATACCACCCTATTTGATGGGCAGCTTCCCTGAACTGGTTGTTTCTAACAGCATCAGGATCACCAGCTTTATTTTAGCTGAGTTTGTGGTTGGCAATGTCACAGATCAGAAAAACGCGAAGGAAAGGAAGCTCTCCCAGTGCCAAATGCTCGATCTGAGTACTTGTGAACTCGAATCCTGTTCAGATCCGGATGCAAGTGCTGTGGCTTGTTCTTACATATATGAGCAAAACCTGCATGTAGGAACTTCTGACCACTGGGGCTTGGGCCACATCTCCCCGGTGCAGCGACGGCTCGGTCCCCCGGCTGCCCTCCTGGATCCAGCATGGTTGCACGCTTCACAGGTTATTTGCTGGAATAACTAAGCTACACTGAAATATCGACACCAGCATAGAAGGAGCAGGGAAAAGGGAGAAAGTGCAAAAAAGCTGCAGTCATCTTTCACAGTGATGTCATGGGTCAGACTAAACCGCAAAAAGTAAATGACAAATCTCTGCCCAGTACACCCACTGGGCCTGTGCAATCAATGGGTCCCGCACAGGGCCAGGGCCAGGCTCTCTGCCTGCCTGGCTGCACACGGTATGCCCCTGCACCTGTACCCCAAATTTCTCATTACAACACTGCCGGAACACAACAGACGCTTTTTGTACTGATGAGAGAACATAAACCCTCTGCACCAAGTTCTGTGACTGCTTGAAAATGTGTCGACAGTAAAATGATGAAAAATCGGTAGCTGGTGAGTAGGGAGCACGCGTCAGGCTGTGCTGGGGGGAACGGCGTGGGGATAGCTGCGGCGAGGGCTCCTGCGCCACCTCTGTGTTACACAGCACGTGTCAGCACGGGGGCAGAGGGCTTTCCAGGAGAGGATTGTGGCAGACCCATCGATGCAGTGAATAACCCATCAGCTAGCCCTGCAACAGTGAAATCCCACTTGTCCCTCGAGGGGTTTCCTGCCATTTGGGGAGCGCTTTGTGGAATAATAGTACTCTTATAAAAACAAACCAAAAAATGCCCAAACCTTCACTCCTTTCCAGTAAAGCAGGTGTGACTGGGAAGCTCAGGGAATTTCTAGGCAACCCTCCTAGATACAATTAGAATAGAAACCCAAGCCACTACCCTGCAGTAAATAGTACCGATACAAGCCAGGCAAGCACAGCAAATAACCAGCCACAACATACTCCAGAAGAATCTCGCTTAACCACAGAGACCACAACCTGCTGCCTCTCTAACAGAAGGAAATGGAGCCGACTGCTTTCCTTTTTACATTTTCTCATGTGAAATTTTGCGCAGAGTACCACAACTCTATCTTTAGCGCTGTGTGGAATGAGAGCCCAAATCTCTCCCTGCTCTGTTCTCCCAACACGCACCACTCTCTGGTCTGCCTCTGGGAAACATGACAGAGAGAGAAATACACAGCAAAATATGCATGGGCTAAATCCTGAACTGCATCAAAAGCAATGCAGTTGCTCTGCTTTTCTATGGTGTCTGGGAGAAGAAAAGATACAGGGTTTACAGTGCTAGTTTTACAAAAGGCAAACTTAAAAAATGCCTTGAAAGATGCAAACATTTGGGATTTGCACCTGGGAGAAGCTCTGCTTTCCCCACAGCTGTTACACTGCATGGAACACCCTAACCACCTTCCCAACTTTGCCAAAATCTGTATGTTGGCCTCGTACATGGTGACATGGATATGGCAAACAAAAATCTGTTCCACAGGGATAAGCACGAGGAAGGTGAAAACACTGCTGGGGATTTCCAAGGCGCAAAGCACAGTGCTGCGCCGGGCTCTCGCCGCTGCCCTGGGAGCGCGCCCTGCAGGGACTGTCCCGCTCCAGCCCTGGCGTCACTCGGGGTTGGCTGTGCTCCTGTACACAAACACACAGATGTTTCCTTCTCAGCCAGAACCACCTCTTGGTACTTTGCAGGATAAATTGCATTTCAACACTTTTCTCATTGCATTGCCCTAAGCTTCCTTTATCCACCACAAGGACAGAATGATGTTTCACAGCCGGGCTCCTCACGCCCATCCTACCGCTACCTCCCTGCTCTAGGGGGCAGGAGCTGTGATTAACAGAGACCCCTTACCTCCCCCCTCCCTGCCCGGGTGACAGTGCTAAAAGTGGGCACAGTCAGGGGCTGCTAACACGTCAGCAAAGGGTTCGGCAGCGGAGGGGGGAGCAAACCACTCCCCATCAACCTGTAAATATCCTTTACCAGAAAAAGCATAATCTTGCATAGGGAAAAGCCAGCCTATTCATTTAGACAAATGAATCTCAAAAGTGTAATCTGGCAGGCAATACTGCCGGCAATCAATAAACCCCATTTACTTTGCTCCAAGGAGCATTTGGAGGAGATGTAGAGGGTCAGTACAGTGGGCAGCAGTGGAAATAGGAGCACAGCAGGCAGGGCGGTGTGGGGGAACAACTGCGTGGGGGAAATGGTTGTCTTTGCTCACTCTGATATGTTTCTCAAAGTAAATTTGTTCTTGGGAATATTTCTTTGTGAACACACCTAAACTATGAATTAGTGATAGACTAAGAGACTCTCCCTTCCTGCGCGAGCCCCTTTGCTGCAGCCGCTCGGCAGAGCCCCGCAGGCCACTCCGCTCCTGCAGGGTGAGCGCAGCACCTCGGGGGGCACAGCACCACTCACAGCAAGGGATGGCTTCCATTCCCCTTTCCAAGAAAACAAGGGAATATTAAAAAAATAGCAACAACCTCCTGGGAAGATAGATAGACAGAAAGCAATTCTTGCCAATTTAAGGTAGTTACTGCAGTAGCTGCCTATCTGCACAGCAGTCACACCCAGCCAGAGCTGATGAGCTGAGGACACATCAGCGCCACGTCCCCACTGCTAGCCAGGCACTGGAGGGGACTGTCCGATTGCAGCACTTTCCTGTTCAAAGCCTGGTTTCATTACGCGTGTGATCTCTCTCTCTCCAGCGCAGGGCTTTGCGGCTGGCTGGCAAACAGGTCAGGAGAGCCAGCAATGGGATCAAACTAGGGTCGACCCCACTGATGGCTTTCACCCCTGGCCTGATGTCAGGTGTAATTTGTTTTCCAGAGGTGACTAGCAGAAAGGAGCACTGCTAACCCAGCCCATTGGCTTTGTTCTACCTAATGCCACTCGTTTTGTTCCGTCTGTGAGCAACAACTAGAAAGCAGAAAGAAAGTCGGTGTATATAATTCTAATTTCATGGAAGTTAAAAATAATAATAATAAAAAATCCATGCGACCCGCAGCAGTCTCCGCTAACAGAAAGCAAATGTTGCAAGAAGCCACTGTGTCTGTGCTTGGTGCTGGTCTGAAAGATTTTCCTGAGCTCCCAGTACGGCTCCTGCCCAACCCTTCCTTGCTGTGAAACCCTTTCAGTGGGTGGTTTTACAAGTGCAGCTGTCCTGCTACTGGCATCTGGGAGTTACATTAGCAACGGTGTCTGTCAAGGCCTTTTCTTCTTTATTTTAAAATACATTTTAAAATATATTTTTAGAAATAATTAATACTATTTATTTCCCCAGCAGTGGAATGTGGAACGCAGCCTGGCTTGCATAGCTAGGCCAAGTCCTTTCTGCCTCGTACGATCTCATTTATTTAAATAATCACTGCTGAGTTTCTTGCGGCAAAGTACCCCAGTGGGGAACTCTGAAGCTTCTACACAATGGAGGAACGGTGCTTTCTATCAAGCTCAGCAGTCTTAATGTGTGCTTCACCACTAGAGCGACATTTATCAGGACAGCCCTACTGTGAGGCTGATTGCTAGAGGGAAGGGTTGGTAAGTTAGGTTTTATCCAATGGGGTTCACAAATCCTCAAAAATGTTTTCGGTTACAGGGGGTAAACGAATGTTATTTTGGGAAGAAAACACTGAAAACTTCTCAGGAGGAAAGTGTATTATGTAATTGGAAAAGGTTGCTGAGTGATAAGGAAAGGTGCTGCGCGGAGCACAACCGCACATACCAGTGAATAGGAAATGCTAAGATGGGAAAACAGGCGTGTGCATGTTGGTACTATTGCTTTCTGGGGCTGTCATCAGAGGTGTGTCACTGTGCATATGAGGCCCTACATTGTTAATTACCGGAGTGCCATTTATTCAACCGTGCGAGGATGTAAGTTTTAACATCCTTATTAATGTGTGACTCCAAGTGGCTCTGACGTACGGCGTAGTGACAACCATAAAATTGTTATAGGCCTATGCATTTATTACAACGGCATAAGCTCCAGATAACTGGGAGGTCACTCTGCAAACTCACTTCTGGGAAATGATTCTTGACACTTAGCCAAAAAACTGTATTAATCATCATCTTAGGTCTCCTAGTTAGCTTTGTCAGACCACCCCTTGCGTTCTCTCCTTTTCATCAACACTTGCAGCCTTCAAATACTTGCAAAGTTATCTCCTTGCCGCACAGCCCAGCGCCTGAGGCACGCTTCGTGAACAGTTGAGTCTACAGCCCTGAACATCAGAAGGCTGAACTCTGTCAATCACTACCTCTGCAATTGCAGTCTTAAGAGGGGAAAAAAATATCAGAACCCCCTTCAGAGCAGCAGGCCTTTAAACTACAAAAGGCTGGAGTCATCGAAAGAATAATGAGCAGATCATATTCTGTTAGCAGAATTTTAATCCTGAAATCAAACAAGATCAGGGACTGTTCTGCATGGACAACACAAGGGGCTTCCGCTTGCTCTCCGCCTTGGCAGAGGGAGCCTGTTAGTGCCCACTGCGATATGTATCTCCTAAAAGACCCTTGCTCCCTTGCACAGGAATTTTAGGGAGGTGGCACAGACTAGTGAGAAAAAAAAAGAAAGCAAGCAAGAGACCTCAAAAGTTACTCCTGGCTCTGCTGTTAACAGGCAGAGGGATTACTTTGCTTGCCCAAGTCTACCTCGGGCTATGAAGTGCTGTCCAAGCTAGTAAATGAGTTTTGGAGCTTTGTGTAGAAAGAGGTTTCCTCTTCTTGGAGGACTTTCAGTGGAATTAAATGCCCTCAATTTGAGTGAGGGAGCAGGCGGGGAAGCTCCAGGTTCTGCTCTTCAAGTCCCTGGTGTGAGATCAGCCAAGCCGGGGCACTGCCCAAACTGCCAGTAGAGCTGCTTGGTACGTAGGAATGGACCCCAGGCCAGTCTCCCACCTACCCCTGCTGTTCTGCTCAACAGCGTCACGACTCGAAACATCTCTGCCAAACACTGTGACTCTGCCTTCCCAGAAAAAAAACCCTCATGTTCATCACTACCTAGTACTGACATGCTTTAAAAATCAGGGGAATCTGCAGCAGAGGTCTCCCACTCACTCCCATCTGATGACAGGCTCGAGTTACCCTCGACTCCAGATATGACTTTGCAATCCCATTTCTCAACTCTAACAATTAGATAACATTGAGCATTTACAATTCCACTGTGGGACAGCCACTTGTTATCCTTGTCAGTCACCAATTTGCAAGATCCCTAAGGCCATCAAAGGGATTGAAGCAGAGAATGAAACATGGAGAAAAGGGTATGAATTTGAAATTCAGAGGATATCTGATATCCTGTAAATAACAAGTCTGGTTCTGTGAAACCACGGGCTGACATCATGTTATATATCAAAGCCTATTCAGGGAAGGCTGGCTGCTTTGCAATAAAAATGTGTGTTGAGAGGGGAAAAAAACCCCAAAAACCAGCAAGGATGAAAGCAAGAAGAATGAAAACAGTTGGAGATACAAAGTAGAGAAAATGATTTATAAGTGTTCATGCAATTTCTGCTTTGTCAAGACTGATCTTTTCAGGTACTCCTTCTTTGTCTCATGTGTGTATTTCAAACACAGAAAAGGTTTAGCTGGAAGGAAGCCAGTATCCAGCCTCAGGCAATGATTAGTGAATCCATTTGGAGCAGCACACTTATCTTTGACAGACAGTGAGATTTCCAGGGGTCAGATATATTGGCAGCTGTCAGAATCAGAGACTGGAAATTTACAGCCCAAATCGTACTGAGCCCATCCACCAACAGGCACAGAGTTACTGGCACAAAATCTTCAGGCTCGTGTTTTCTTGCAGTCAGGTGTGAGGGTTCATATATATAATTTTATTATCCTTTGCTCACTCTCCCGCACACAGAGTTTATCTCCATATAATTTATGTGAGTGCATTACCTAGTGTTTTACCAGGAAAGGCTGGGGCAGGCAGGCAAAGTAACACAGCACTGCACAGAAGGCAAATTGTTGTTTTCAAAGCCAGAATTGTCAATCCCCTATATTCAGTTAACTCGTTAAGACCTACTTCAGCTACAAGATTTGAAGCACTGAGCCAGCCATTCACATAGGAATGACAGATCGATACCATATCTAGAGGCTGATTAGCTCTGAGGATGAAAGCAATTAAAGACAGTGCCCCACACTATGTACAGAAGACAGTCTGGAGGAGGAGATGACTCTCACGTACCTGAAACCCTGAGGACAGACGCAGGTGTAGCCATTGACTGCATCTACGCAGACAGCTCCATGGCGACACTTATGGCCCACACAGTCATCATCATCTATTTCACAGTGTTTTCCACTGTAACCCGGTAAGCACTCACATCTGAAATACAAGAAGATCACTGTTAATAGCTTGTTTCAATATTCACAACAATAGCACACACAGGCAGCCTAGCACCAATCTGATTTGAGATGGAAAGGTGTGAGCAATTATTCTTGGAAACATCAAGCACAATTCCTGCCATCAGAAATGCTCACGTCCCTCCTGTCTGTCTGCAGCTGAGGTTCTGCAATCTGCTTAAATTCAAGCCGAGCAAAGAGATACCATCCTACTGCTTTTCCTCAGCCAAGCCTGTGGAGAAGGGTGATCATATAGCGGTCTCCCAATTACACTGAAGATGACAACATCTTCCCTAACCTTACAGACTCAAAGCGCAATATCCTGCAAGGGCAGTTGCTCTGATGTCTCAGACTGTGATTTTGCCAATGTCTGCACACTGCCGAGTGTCTGAGGTTGGCCCTGTGCAGCTACACAGAGCACAGTAAGGTTCCACCTTCCAAATGGAAGCAATCTGCAAGCAAGCCATAAAACTCAGCAAATTTAAAGAAAACGACCATCAGTTTTGAGACCACCACCTGTTTGTCATTCATTTGCAAGGCATAGCAAATGTTGCTGCAACTACGGAAAGTTGTCTTTGAAGTCTGTCCTTTCCTGTGGTGACACTGAGACGAGGCACGTACCTGCTGCTACGGGGTAACGCCATTCATAAGAACAACACAATGGGATGCACCCAAACCTGCAGACATTGGCTTTTTAATTTATTTCATTCAATCCTCAAGTTTGTTGTACGAAGGCTGCATCAGCATTTCTATTATAAGTCTTGCAGAAGTTTACAACCTGACAACAGAAAATGCATCCCAAAGTCTCTGACTGGGAACAGATCTTTTGGGATTGCTGAACAGCCTCTTTTTGAATCTATAGTGTAGACAATGTTTAGTCATGAACACGCTTTAGTCCATAAAACACATTTTACTCCTCCCAGCTGGATGTTACTGCACATCTGGAAAACAAAAGGAGTATCACTTAAACCAAAACAAGGGAAGAACTACAGTTAACTTCAGCAATAAAAGCAGAGGTCTGTGCTTTTGCTGGAGCCCCCTGTTTGGACCCAGTGCACTTGCCACCAAGAGCTGGAAAAGGACAGACACCATAAAGTTGAGGAAGGCAGCATCAGGAGAGAAACTACTGCCCCACCAACCTATTCTGCTGGCCTCCTCCTCCCTGCCAGCAGCCTGGTGGGGTAAGTGCAGGAGGACGATCCTTCTTCCTTCAGAAGAACTGGACACATGTGAGCTGATGAGGAAAGGTATTTCCCCTTTCCAGGCAGTAGTCATGCTGAATTTGGTCCCGAGTGACAGTGAACACACTGGTGGCCCCTGGGCACTTCCCAGCTCATCAGGGCAAGGCAGCGAGTTGGGGGAAACTTCCCGAAGTGCAACAGCAGGTCCTCTGTTTGCTAATGACCAGTGAACGGCTGCCACAGCATCAGGGCTTCAGCAACCGCCTAGCTCAAGCACTGAGAAGAACATGACCTTCAGTCTCCATTTCAAAACATGGCTTGTGACTGGTTAAAAAAGGAGGAAACAGGGCAAAGCCTATTAACCTGGAGGCTGTAGGATGGATAACATTATGTAGATGCGTATACTTTCTCTCTCCATCCTCCCTACAGGAGAGGCCCCCATCATGACCCTCCGCAGCCAGAGGATGGTTGATGTTCCAGCTCTGCACGCCTGCATTGCTTTTTCACACCTTGGTGGCTCAGGGAATATTGTGATTATCGTAACGGAGATGACAAAACAGAGCGAAAAGCAAAAAGTGTTTCTTCCCCAAACCATAAGAAGCGGGCAACATTTTTTGGCAACATTTTAGCCACACCTGCAAGCAAATAATGTCAATCAAAAGACTCTGGGGGGGAAATTGGCAACATTTAATCCTGTTGCTTTTTATCGATCCCCGCAGTCCTAATATAAAGTGATGTAATAATGAACGATGTGCAGTTCCTTATTCAGGGCTGCCATGCATCAATTTTATGATGTGTATTGGCTATCTCAGTAATGACAGAACCACCACTTTTCTCTGCAGGGCTGCATTAAATCAGTATTTTAAGCTGTCAGGTAATAATTCCAAGCTTTAGAATAATAAAGTATATTTATACCATACTCCAACATCAATACAGTGAATGGAAAAACATGCTTCTTTCCTGAAGTTATTTTTTTAGAAGTCATTTCATTGTGTTAAATGTTTTTTTTGTTGTTGATTTTTGGTTTGGTTTGTTTTGTTTTCTGGCATACAGAAAGCTACTCTTCTTCTACAGTAACAGCACAATAAAGATGTGGAGGCTGGAAGTGAGGAAAGCCACCTGCAATTTTAGCTTAGAATGCAAAGAGCTCTGTGCAGCCAAGCACACACTGAAATAGTCCAGTTTGCTTCCAAGCTTGGCTTTCCTTTTAGAAACATGGAATTCCTTTTAGGTGACAGTCATCTCTTAGTGTGGTGCATCTATTCTGAAGCTACCAAAAATGCATGCCTGGAGCGTGGCAGGTGAGAAACTCAGCCACACGAGTGCCTCACCCAGCCTCTCCTAGAAACCCAAGGTCTCCCCAACCAGGGAATGATGGCACGTTAGCTCCATCCCTATCCCACACAGTACCAGTAAGTGACTGACTATCAGTAAAAGTATGATGCAGTAAAGGAGGAGACAAAGAAACTTTGATTTTCAAATCCTAGTAACAGAGCAGTTTACACGATTAGATCAGTTATTTCATTTCCCAGTGACCATCTGACACCAGTACAGTTGAAATCTTGTTTTCTGCTACAGCCTTGTAGTGATGGCAACATTCCCAGTATCAGAGAGAGCCTAAAAACATGTCTAGTGGTATTTAAAATGTTGGCCTATCTGAGGGAAATTGCATCTGCATGCACTCTAATGTCTATTGTATACAAGCCGTGAATCATGGCTTCTATTGCAGGGCCAGAATGGAATTTCCCTCCCCATATCAATAAATAACTTGGCTTCCTATTTTTCCCCCCCTCCGTCTTTGTCATCTTTTCCTCCCTCTGCAGAATTTCAGACTGACTAGAGCTGAAGGCAGGACAGACAGACTGACGACTGGTGTCCTTGCGGCTATGATATTCTTCACTGGTGTGTCCTACTCACATGCCCAGGGCACAAACCTGACAAGTGGATGATAGCTCGGGAACAAGCCAGAATCCTGCCATTAATATTCCCCGCCTCTACAAGCAGAGCAGAGGACTGGTGCACGAGCCCGGCTCATTCTGCATGTGGCATTATACTGCACCATTACAGACTAAATGTATGGCGCATCACAGGTCAGGAGATCAAACTGCTCAAGGGATCAGCAACAGCACAGGACCGGAGGTGGTTGTTTTCAACGAGATCCAGCAGCAACCACACACGACTGCAAAAGCTGCTGTGGGCTCTCAGGCCATTTCTGAATGGTTGGATGCAACCGAAGTATGAAAGAAAAAGCAATACTTGGATAAATCTATGTTCAGGGCTAGGCAGGCTCTCGAGTCTGGGCTGCTGGAAAGCAAAATGGGACAGAGGAAGTAAAGAAATTCTGGATTTTTGTGTAGCGTTCTATCAATAGTGGGAAAAATAATGCAACAAACAGTAGTTGCAAGTAGTTATTTTGGCTTCCCTCAAGGGTTAATGGCCCCACTGCAAAGAAACTTTTCTAGCAAGCAAGCAAAACTGTCTTATTTACTCAAATTATTTGGGCGGCAGGTATGACAATGCTTCCAGGAAGGGTAAAACCATTCAGGACCACAGCTGTCTCCATCCCTTCATACATCTAGCAACATAAGGTAATTTGAGTTACAAGCCTTTGATTTGTAATATGATGTAGCTACTGGATTAGCTGAATGATGGATTAACTAGGAATGAAAGCTGGAAAGAACATCAGGGACTCCTGGGATGTGTGTACCAGTATACACCTCCTTATCCAGTCCCCGTACATCATTTTGGGACCTGTCCTAGTTATTTAATAGTTTCATCTTCCTCAAGAGTTGGAAACATTTCTGTCTGGAGGTTTTTCACCCAAGAGAAAGGATTGAGTTGTACAGACTGACTGTCTAGCACGGATTCAGCTGTCCTCGATACAGCCAGCATCTCTAAAATTTTGGTTCGTTTCCTTTTAACTATCCTGAAACGTTCTGTGTATTAGTTTACACTATTCTGACATGCTGGTTGCTTCACAGGACACAATCTGACCCCAAATTGCAAGTTACCAGGAAGACCAAAGAGTGCTGGCATCTTTCCCCTGTGAGATGCCGGGTGCCCTGGGTGAGGGTGTCCCTCTCCAAAACCCGCAGCCCTCCCTCCCAGGAGGGAATCGGTGAGCCCCCGGGATTGCATCATGTCTGTGGAAACAGCCTTAGGGGAAAGTGCAGAACACAGCTTATGCTGCACTGAACTCTCTTGAGTTTGTCTTCCTCTCTTACTACTTTGATTCAAAGATCTTTTCTTGACAAGCTTTCCATAGAGCTTGACTATTTAACTACTGCCTCTATTTGCTAAATTGCTCTGAAATTCCCACTTCAGACAAGTGATGAACACTGCTACTATGCACCTCTCAAAACACCCCAACCTCCAAATCTCCAGATGTTTTACTGCCATTTACAATGTGAGGCTTTCCTTTGCCCCTGTGAAACAGTCAGTCTCATTCCCAATACCCAAATGCAAACACGAGGGACTTCACAAAATGTAATGTGAGCTGAGTGAAGCTCGCCTCTATAGCCAACGGAAGAAGGTGGCTCCTGAGTAAGAGCCATCCAGTTCAGCTGTTTTCTGCTGCTGCCCATGTGAAGCAGCGTGGGGAGAGAAGCCCCACTGCAGTCAAGGCCAGCCTTTGTCAGCGCTCCCCAAGACCGCCAGCCATCCCAGGAGACAAGAGCTAAAGTGGGAATACAACAGAAAACTCCTGACCTGCCGCTTTATGCTCTGGCCACAAGTTTATCTTTCCCTTCTCAGTATTTAGCATGGGGACTGGCTTTTAAACACTGAGCCAGCATGGGCTGAGGAGGGCTGAGTTACATCTGTTAAGCCTCCTGCTATGCTGCTTGAATTGATGGATGCCCTAAGCAACACATAAGGAAACTGTCCTTAGTTTCTGATGCAGGATAAGACACTTCGCAGTAACTGTTCCAGAAACACTCCTTTTGGCATACTCTATTCCAGAATAATTTCTCTGCTCTGGGGGGTACACCCGTTATTTTCAAGTAAACCACAGAACGCTAGAAAAGTATGTACGGTTGCATTAAAATTAAATGTGACGTGGTCTGAAGTATATAGTACAGTATTTGCACTAATTTTGATGATTTTTACCCCAAACTCATTGCCAGTTCAACCCTAGTCAAGCCAATGGACGGATCTGCCCAGTGTGCAGAGACCAACATACACACAAGCTTACCTGGTTCCTTTGTCAAGGGGAAGACATTTGGACTCATGTTGGCATGGATTTAGATCAGGAACACAGTGGTTAATCACCTCATCACACAGTTCACCTGAGGCAAAAGAAAAGCAATACAGCTGTAACACAACTTGGAGAACCCTGAAGCAGCTCCAACCATGATGTTCAGGGATGGCAAATCTCCCTAAATGGAGATAGCTCAGTAGTTCAGAAGGAAGCGA